GGCTCTGCCTCTAGATAGATAGGCAGAGCCAGCTGTCACTCATGCAGCTGGGCGGATCTCGACATCGATGTCGGGATCCGCTCCGGCTGCGGCGTCTCAGTATATAGGGAGCTGCAGCTCGCGGTATACTGAGCGTAGGGTGACGGGAGGATGCTAGTTTGTGTCCTCCCGTTACCCTAAGGAGAACTATGGGGAAAAGCCTTAACCCCATAGTTCTCCTTTAATACAAGTCAGCAAAGATCAGCGGAATGTGAAGTGATATTTTAGGATGGCGGCGTTCCGATGTCGTGTATATATCAGGAAAATGTCTTTGCGGACGGAGTTGCGTTCTATCGCTGAGAGAGATAACTGGTAACGAGGGGCCGCGCCGTCTCATCAAATTGCTGCCCGTCCGGAGCGCCCCCTCCCTCCCCCCGCTGCGTCCTGGATTTCTGTGATGGCGGCTCGCTGGGATCTTGTCAGTTCCGCCTCCGTCAATACGATTCCAATTCATGGGAATAAAATTCTCTGTTACGTTTCTCGCTCCGCGCTGAGATTTCCCTCCTCTCTGTCCACGGCCGCGGCTCATTACTGGCGATGTCAATGTCCCGCCGCCCCCCCATGATTTATGTCCCTCTGTCTGCATTTCATTTAACGCCACCGAAAGTCATTCAGATTTTATTTTTCACATATGTAGGGGGCGGGGATCTGCCTGAAGGGGTCACTGGGGGTGAAACTACCATTCACAAGGGCCCTCCATAGGACAATTTCAAAGGGGGGCCCCCTGGGTCAATGTAATTAGTTCCGGATGGAGTGGGGGATGGGTAGACCCCATTTTTACTGCTATAGGGGACTCTGTTTAGCTCACCACACATATAACGATATTTTTTTCCTGTACTCGCCGATACCGAATACCGATACCGGAAGTCCCATTAAGGAAGGCAGGCGGCGTGTAATAACTCGCACCTGGCTTCCTGATTAGCTGGGAAGTTGTCTCCATGCTTCTTGTCACTAGGTGACGAGAAAGCACTGAGCCGGCTCTCTGGCCAATCAGGAAGCCGGGCGCCGTGTCATGACGCGGCGCCCGGCTTTCTGGTTGGTTGGAAAGCCGGCTCCATGCTCCCTCGTCATGAGGTGACGAGGGAGCATGAAGCCGGCTTCCCGGCCAATCTATAAGCCGGGCGCCGGGTCATGACATGGCGCTGGCTTCCTGTTCGGCCAGGAAGTATCGGGACCAGGCATCGTAGCATTTGGGCAAGTACGAGTACTCGCCCAAATACTCGGCATCTGATACCGATACTAGTATCCCTAGTGGAGTCTCATCCCTGTTACAATGTATCTTCAGTGAGCACACATTGTATCCGAGCTACAAATGTAACAACATCCCCCCTCGGCTACTTCCTTGCTGTTCCCTCTTTTGAATATTGGGTTTCTTCGAGGTGCTTCCTCTACTGTCCATCTCGGCATGCAGGAAAATATCAGAATCCACCATGACAGGCGATGGAAATTCTACAACATTTCATAAAATGGATAAAAAAACTGTAATTTTTATACAAAATATTCCATTTCACCTTTTTCTAAACTGTCATATTTTCTTAAAGAAAAATCCATTTCACTTTTTTTTATCCTATTTTGTATCTCAGTACTGCTGCTGCTGATCTCCTGCATCCTCTTTTAGCCCCTTCCTGTCTACATTGACAGCTGCATGACATTTCTCAGGGCCGTTTTCCTGATGGTGACAACGGAAAAATATGCAATTTTGCTTTCCCTGGTTCCCCCTCCCCCCCATCATCATACTAGTGACATGAAACCTTCCCATTTTCAGTATATACCTTATTTTAGTCCCAGTGATGTCATCACTGGGCCTCTGGGCTTCTCCAAGCAAAGTAGACAGATCGTTGCTGGTGGGAGGAGCAAGCAGGGTGCTGTACATAGCTTTCTCAACACATCCCAGCACCCTGCCACAGTACATCTCTTAAGACCCCCCAGCCCAGATGCAAGCAGTGGGCTGGCTCTTGGGAGGGGTTATGCAAATATTAAAGAGCCTTAATGGGTGGGTGTCAGTCTGGAGGAGTGGGCAGTCCTAGGAAGGCTTCATTTGCATGCAGACCACCCACATGTGATGCTGAGCCTCCATGATTGAACGGAATGAAGTCCAATGAATGAAAGGGGCGGGGCCAGGGACAGTCAGGCTGGGGAGGAAAGGGCTAGTAATGCACGGTATGAGAAGCTCGCAGTGTGCAGTGAAATCAGAGGAAGACATTCCAGTCCTGGAGTATGAAATCTCTTCTTTCACGGGGGTGGCCCTGTTTTCATTAGACGGGCCGGGTCTCTATAGGTCGGGCCCTCCACGGTCCTAGCGGCGGACCTGTTGAGGTCGTACTGTCAATCCCCAGCACACCCGATCAGGGCGAGTCAGTCTGTAGATAGCGGCAGTCTTATCTCCTCGGACCGGTTCAATATGGAACGTGTTTATTTTTAGCCGCGGTCGCACTTCCCTCTTTCTGTTTATTTTCTGATACTCGCCGTGTGCACTGCAGGCGTGTCCGCGCTTATGTCACCCTATTGACGCAAAACGTTTAATGTGGCGATCTGCGAGATGTGCCATTCAAGGCAACCAATCAGCAATGATCGCTTAACCACTTCCAGCGGGGTGACATAATTGTACGTCCTCCGCCGGAAGTGGTTACACCAAGAACATGCCTGCTGCTGCCGTGTTCCTGCTACTGTTTTATACAGCCGGCGATTGCTGTTTAAAGGAGAACTATGGGGTTAAGTGTTTTCCCCATAGTTCTCCTTAGGGTAACGGGAGGACACAAACTAGCGTCTTCCCGTCACACACTGTAGCTCTCTATATACTGAGACGCCGCAGCTGAAGCGGATCCCCACAATTATGTCTGGATCCGCCCAGCTGCGTGACTGACAGCTGGCTCTGCCTATGTAGAGGCAGAGCTAGCTGTTCCCGCCCCCTCCCTGTCCGTTCTGCCAGTCAGCGCTGGCGGATCGGAGCGGGGAGCGGGGAATCCAGCCTCTCCCCTTTCACGGCAGAGAGCCGTGACAGGATCGAGAGGTGAGCGAACGCCGGTATGTGTTCGCTCACCTCCCGATCTACTGAGCCTTGTACCAGCAAAATTGGCGAACATGGGCCTAGGCATTACTTCGTTATGTTTCAGGGGCTGTAAACAGAAAGGCACCATGTTACATGTCTGGTGGGTGTGTCCAGGGTTACGACCCCTCTGGAACAGGCTGTTTACCCTGCTTTCGAGGATTCTCGGGGACCATATTCCCAGATTCCACAGTATGTATTACTAAATAAACCAATCCCGGACATCTCCAGAACGCAGGGCAAACTCGCATCCTTTTTCTTCCTGGCGGCTAAGATATCAATAGCTCGGTCCTGGAAAGCTGAAAAGGTTCCATTCTCTCTAGTGCTATCTAAAGTAAACTGGATCATGATCCATGAGAAATGATATAGCATCTTGCAGGATAGCTACGCAGAATTTGAAGCAGTATGGGAGCCATGGCTGAATTACCAAGAGATCCCAAATGCACATAGTAGGGATGCACAGATACTTTTCGAGTACCAGTGCAGATACTTGGCATTTTCATGAGAACTACCAGGGTTGCAGCGGTTGCAGCTGGGACCTGGCTCTGGCGCTCCACCACTGTCCTGAAATCATTAGTCTGTATTGTTTTAGAAAAACTGTCACATGACAATAAACAAAAATGTATCAGTACTCGTACTTGGAAGTACTCGGCAAGTACCAGTACTCGTACTCGCACTGGTATCTGTGCATCCCTTTATTTATATTTATAAAAACAAAATCGTACATTAAAACAGAGATGTACAAATCCCGGGAGCTCCGTGTGCTCCTTACAAATGACAGCCGCCTCCTAACTTTTGAATTTTTCTCTAGTCTAGTCTTGGAGCTCAAAAGTATCGGTACTTGTACTCGTACTTGTACCGAGTACTGTACTTGGTATCTGTGCAACCCTAGCACATAGCATCATTTCCGAAGCCCTAGCTTAAGCATATAGGGTCTGCTGCTCAGAACCCAGGAAACTATCATTTATGCCTTTATTCTTTATATAATATGTTGTTGTTTTTTATACCTTTTTTGTTCTCCTCTTTGTCTGTTCTTTTCCATTTGTATTTTTCCTTTTTGTACATTAAAAAGTTTTTCCATAAGTGTCCATATAGCGAAAGTAGCTATATCCAGATTGTGAGGCCCCGCACCCTCAAAACTAGAACCGAGTGAATGGAAGGGTGAGCCACTGGAGGTAAATGTGGGCAGGGGCCAAGTCGAAGGCTAATAACACAACTGGTTTTCCCCTTGTCCTCTTCTGGTGATAGCTTTGATGGTCCATTGAAGGGTGGGGGGATGCGGGGAATCAAGGCCAACCTGAGAAATATTGAATTTTCTGTTTTTTGTTTCTTTTTGACTCATATGTTAAAACCTGTTTTAAAACTTGCTTTATCTTATGGAAACCAATAAAAACTTTGAAATCCGATCTACTGAGCCGACCTGTGACAGTCTCATTGTCACAGGTCGGCTAGAACTATGAGGGGAGTGAAAAGCACTCCCCTCATAGTTCTCCTTTAAATACAAGCGATCCGGCGTCCGTACAGGCGCCGGATCAGTTCTACAGTGCAGAGACGTGTCCCTCCTCTGGCTCTTTGAGCCTGGAATCGGCACGATGGGCTTCCAGCAGCTGATCTCTCCTCTGATCACTGGACCCGGAAGTGATGCTCATTACATCACTTCCGGTGTCACTGGGCACGTTCCCTGGCTCCTAGAGCCAGAAGAAGAAGCTGGTGAAGCAGATCTCGGCTTCCTCAGCTTCTTTGGGGTCACTAGGTGACATTGGGGGTCTGAAAGACTCCTGATGTCTCAATAAAGAGGGCCTGTCACATTATATTTTCTATTACGTAGTGGGCTTGTTAGTCCCCTATGTGATAGCAATAGAGTGTAAAAAAATTGTAAAATTAAAGTAACAGAAACAAAAAAACTTAAAATGCAAAAAAAAGTTTTAAAGTCCCCCCGCACCCCCACATACACACGCAAACACGCGTCGTGCAAAAACGAAATTGGCGCCACACATTTTACATATCGTCAGAGAGCAATAATTCTAGGCCCATCAATCACTGTTAGCACTAAACTGATGAGCAGTAAAAGCGTTTAAAGCGTCGCCTATGGGAAATTTTGGTCATTGTAGTTTTTTCCTGCTTCACATACGCACGCAATTTTAAGGCTGGACGTGTTTGGTATCTCTTTACCCGGCGTGACCCCGTCTTTTATATTTTACTAAAACAATGGGGATTATATTATGTTTCTGTGCACTAAATTTCATTTTAGTGTATTTTATCCTAAAAAATACGGGTTTGATAAACATGTGCGCAAATACCGCGTGACATAAAACATTGCAACTAGTATCTTTTTGTTCTATAGGGCCTCTGCTTTCAGAAAATATATCATTGTTTGGGGGTCTGAAGCTGTTTTCTTCCCAAAATGTTATCATGTGTGTGCAAATGTAAGCAATGGCTCCGGGCAGCGAGTGGTTAAAGGAGAACTATGAGGGGGGAGGGGGGGTGCTTTCCACTCACCTCATAGTTCTAGCCGACCTGTGACAATGAGACTGTCACAGGTCGGCTCAGTAGATCGGGAGGTGAGCGAACACATACCGGCGTTCGCTCACTTCTCTATCCTGTCACGGCTCTCTGCCGTGACAGGGGAGGGGCTGGATTCCCCGCTCCGATCCGCCAGCGCTGACAGGCGGAACGGACGGGGGAGGGGGCGATTACAGCTGGCTCTGCCTCTTATGTCTGGATCACGCAGCTGGGCGGATCCAGACATAATTGTCCGCTTCAGCTGCGGCGTCTCAGTATATAGGGAGCTGTAGCTCGCGGTATACTGAGCTTAGGGTGACGGGAAGACGCTAGTTTGTGTCCTCCCGTTACCCTAAGGAGAACTATGGGGAAAAGCCTTAACCCCTAGTTCTCCTTTAATGAAACAGCCGACATGGACCAAGACTCAGGTGCAGAGGACGGACAAAGTGGGGAGCATATTGGGGGCCTGAGCCCACTGCCAGGCCCTCTTGGTGGGAGGAGCACTTGTAAAGCCCCTCCCAGTGTCACGCACCTATAAGGACCCGTTCACGCTTTATAGGGTTGCAGCAATGCGCGGCAATGCACATTTATATACAATGACCCAATGCAGTGCCGTTCAATTGATGGCACCTCAATATTCCCTGTCAACGGATATGCGTTGCGATGCGTCACCCCGCCAAAAATGGAGCGTTAACTTTTTTTGACATGCACCTTACTGCATTGCTGCAGGTTGCCATGTGTCACTGCGCTGCAATGCAGGTCTGACGCAAGGCGCGTTGGGGTGCAATTCATTTGAATGAGGGGTGCCATTAAAACGAATGGCCCAGCATTGCACCAGCGCATTTAACGTGCAATTTCTACATGCTGCGGGAAAGCATACGGCAACAAGTGCAGGGCTACGACGTAAACGGGGCCCTAAAGTGGACCTGTCAAGCCTCAGATGCCAAATACAATCAAATCGATAACGTTGGATGAGGCGCGAAACCGTTCAGATTGTAATGCGTGTTCCATGATGTTTATAGAACTCAACAGCTCAAGCCGAGTCTTACACACATAACTGTATGACTCAGAGGAGCGATAGCCCCCCCCATTCCCTTCTCTGCCTGCTCTGTTCTCTGGCTGCTCTGTACAGAGTTTCAATCAGACAGCGCAAGCCTATAAGCAATCTCTCTTTAGAAACCCCAGAATGTCATGTGACACCAGTGCCCTGGCTGCAACCTGTATTAACACACACAGCTGAAGTCAGAGCAGAGATATCCCCCCTCCAGTGATTTCTCCCTCTCTTCTATTCTCTGCCTGCTGTGTTCAGAGTTTCAATGAGAGAGAGAAAGCCTATAAGCAATCATCTCTCTTTAGAAAATCCATAACATCAGGTGACACCAGTGCCCTGGCTGTAGCCTGTATTAGCACACACAACTGAATGAGTCAGAGGAGTGATATCCCCCTCCCTTCTGTTCTCTGCCTGCTGTGTCCAGGCAGCGCTGTACAGCGTTTCAATCAGAGAGAGAAAGTCTGTAAGCAAGCATCTCTCTTTTGAAAACCCCATAACGTCATGTGACACCAGAGCCATGGCTAGGGTTTCCACCTGTCCCGGATCCACCTGGACACTCCGTGTTTTGTTTCCTGTATGTGCTGTGTCTGGGTTTCAGCTGGTCTGAAACCCAGTCACAGCACAAACAGGACTCAAAATCCCGGACTGTCCAGGTGAATCCGGGACAGGTGGCAACCCTAGCCATGGCTGCAGCCTGTCTTAGCACACACAACTGAATGAGTCGGAGGAGTCATTTCTCACTCCCTTCTGTCCTCTGCCTGCTCTGTACAGAGTTTCAATCAGAGAGAGAAAGCCTGTAAGCAATTAACTTGCTTTAGAAAACCCCAGAATGTCATGTGACCCCAGTGCCCTGGCTGCCCCATTATAAAACTAGTACTGAAGCCTTGGCTTTTTAATTGCAATGACATCTCTCATGGCGTGCTATTCGCTGGACAATTTTTGGATTTTAAAGCAATACCGCTACACATTCCTTGTAAAAAAACATTTTACAGCTGCCTCTCTGATTGTCCTCCTTGGGACCTATCATTCCCATCCTTGGGACCCATCATTCCCATCCTTGGGACCATTCATTTCCATCCTTGGGACCCATCATTCCCATCCTTGGGACCATTCATTCCCATCCTTGGGACCCATCATTCCCATCCTTGGGACCCATCATTCCCATCCTTGGGACACATCATTCCCATCATTGGGACCCATCATTCCCATCCTTGGGACCTATCATTCCCATTCTTGGGACCTATCATTCCCATCCTTGGGACCCATCATTCCCATCCTTGGCTATCATTCCCATCCTTGGGACCTATCATTCCCATCCTTGGGACACATCATTCCCATCTTTGGGACCCATCATTCCCATCCTTGGGACCCATCATTCCCATCCTTGGGACACATCATTCCCATCATTGGGACCCATCATTCCCATCCTTGGGACCTATCATTCCCATTCTTGGGATAGCCTTGGCTTTTTAATTGCAATGACATCTCTCATGGCGTGCTATTCGCTGGACAATTTTTGGATTTTAAAGCAATACCGCTACACATTCCTTGTAAAAAAACATTTTACAGCTGCCTCTCTGATTGTCCTCCTTGGGACCTATCATTCCCATCCTTGGGACCCATCATTCCCATCCTTGGGACCATTCATTTCCATCCTTGGGACCCATCATTCCCATCCTTGGGACCATTCATTTCCATCCTTGGGACCCATCATTCCCATCCTTGGGACCATTCATTCCCATCCTTGGGACCCATCATTCCCATCCTTGGGACCCATCATTCCCATCCTTGGGACACATCATTCCCATCATTGGGACCCATCATTCCCATCCTTGGGACCTATCATTCCCATTCTTGGGACCTATCATTCCCATCCTTGGGACCCATCATTCCCATCCTTGGCTATCATTCCCATCCTTGGGACCTATCATTCCCATCCTTGGGACACATCATTCCCATCTTTGGGACCCATCATTCCCATCCTTGGGACCCATCATTCCCATCCTTGGGACCTATCATTCCCATCCTTGGGACCCATCGTTCCCATCCTTGGGACCCATCTTTCCCATCCTTGGGTCTCCTTGGGACCCATCAAGTCCCCTCCACCATGCACGGGCAGGCCCTGGTCGCCTTTACACTATGTCTTCAAATCAATGAA